AATAATACAAAGAACGTTACCATTGTGATAAAGTGAAATTAAAACTATTGTATAGTTTCTATTGAAATGGAAGTCGTAAGTAAAGCATAACTCTTTCTTCATAATAAATACATGACATAATGATAAGAAATACAGCCAAATAAAAGAGAATATTTACTTTGGAAGTGTGTGTGAATTCCACTGATTTCAAGTTAGTACTCATAACCAAGTGACATTAGTTAAAGTGACTTGTTTCGCGATGAGATTTCTCGAAGTACTAATGAGAGGACATAACTCATGGGGCAAACCAAGTCGGGCGTGAAGACAGGTACTTACCGATTCTATTGGATAGAGGTCATGCTATATCGAGAACTGATAGAAGTACGTGGCTCAGTGGCAACATACTCTTCACGGAACCTAAAGGTCTTCGGCTTGATCCAAGATGGGGTGTGGTCATGGTCAACAGATGTATGCAGAAGTATGCCAGTAGGTAGCCTTGTCACTAAGACTCTAGCTCTGCAGCCATTGTTACAAACACTTGGAGCTATACACTTACCTATCCAGTTACGGTAATTATATCTCACTAAAACAAACTATATATGCTTGTTATTACTTTTAGAAACAACCTGCCTTTTTCATCAAGTAGCTTAATCTAAATACAATCACAGTCAAATGTGTGGTTTGAATTTTTACGGAGACTATTTTCCAAGAAATAAACAGAATCACCCTGTATTTGAAGATGATATTTAAATATATAGCACACAGAGCATTCAAGTGTGATAGGTAAAGAAATATTAGCTTGTAATCAGTTCTCCCGGGAATAATAATTAGTTCATGGCCTCATCGATCATATACGACCGCCATTTTAAGGAAAGCCATCAAAACCTCTGGTCGTATTATGATAACCTGTGAACTCCATGTAGAAAGAAACAAAGTAGTTCTGAGAAACATTTATATTTAGAAAATCAAAAAGGAACATTTTGAATACTAGCATTCCCATCAAGAGAACTTTGCAAGCTGTATTACGAGAGTCTATTAACCAGAAACTCTTACAGCAAGTGATAGCAACATTCGCTTCGAAGAAGTAATGAATCATAAACTTAAACAGGAATCACATAGCGGTAAAATTCTAATCTTAACAACTGCATGATATCAAAATATAAACTATCGCTTTTGAACTATGATGTAATAGTCTGGTTCGCACAACAAAAGTAAGCGTAGAACAACAGCTACATCAGTCTGTTTGAACATTAAGATGACTAGGTTCGATAACAGGTTTGTCTTCCTTTTAGACTAACAGAACTAACAGGAGATGATGTGAAAGCGTTTTCGAGAGTATTTATTGGTCTAAATCTACAATTTCGCAAAATACTTCAGAAACCCGAGAAAATATACGCTGAAGCTACTAAAAAAGCTGAACAAACTATCCGAAGGTTATTTTAATATGATGTTGCACACATTATAAAACATGGAACAATAATTCCGTCAAAAATGGAGAAAAACTCACTAAAACGTAAGTTTTAACACTACATAAGCATACACCCAAGTGTATACATAAAGAGGAAAGATTGGTTTAACTACTCTACTCCATGCTAATTACAGAAATATGATGATAATATTAGTTTCTATTGACGATAACTTTAACCTCGCCTGGTTAACTAGTTCACTAGTTACTAGCCGGTCCTAAGCTCGGGTAAAGGGGGAAGGTTGGGCATTCGGCTAGCAACCCTACCCCGAAAAACAAATCTAACCCGCAAAGAAACTTCAAAGCACAAACAAAATATAAAACATAAAAACAAACCTATTCCTAGCTGGAATCGGAGAGGCGAAATGATGCCAGTTGGTGAAAGCCTTCGGGAAGCCAATTGGCCGATGTGTCTTCCCTCCCTCGATGAAAGCGAAAGTAAACGTGGGGACATGGAATGTCCGTACGATGTTTGAACCCAGCAAGGCAGCCCATATTGCAAAAGAGATGAACAGGTATCACAATGAAGTGCTAGGAATTTGCGAAAGCAGATGGAATGGGAGTGGACTCTTCAAACTGTCATTGGAGAATCAATAATCTACTCCGGTCACCCAGACGACAACCACTAGCACACTGAGTTTTCGAGTGGCTATCATGATGTCCCCAACAGTATCGAAGGCTCTCATGCAGTGGGAACCAATCTCCTCCAGGATCATGACAGCAAGGTTCAACTCAAAAAGAAGGAAGGTCACAATCATACAATGCTATGCACCTACAAAAAGTGCAGATGAAGAGAAGAAGGAGTTCTACAGACAATTGCAATCATTACTGGACAAGACCCCAGTTGGCGACATCAAAATTCTAATGGGCAATATGAATGCCAAACTGGGAGGGGACAACACAGGAAGAGAACTCATCCATCATCGGTCATGAAGCACTCGGTGAAATGATGAATCAGAATGGAGAATTGTTTGCAGATTTCTGTGCATTCAACGGTTTGGTGATTGGAGGCAGTGTGTTCAAACACAAGAATATCCACAAAGCGACATGGATTTTAACAGACACCAGGACACACTAAAAAAAGAGATCGACTTCATCTCAATGTGACGAAAGTGGAGACGCAGTCAGCCTACTGGACACAAGATCAGATGAGATGAAGAAGGGGAGCAGGTATATGTTCACACCACTCACTATCTAGTGCAAGGAATCTACCTTCCAAATGAAGTTGAAAGCCTTCAAGGAAGCTGGTGATAGACCACAGTTCAAGTACAACACACAGAATGGAAACTGAAGGATAAAACTACAAAGGACATCTTCACGTCAGCCAGCCATCAAGACAAAATGGGAGATATCGAGGAACATCCCTGAAGAAACCTGTGTAGAAGAACACTGGAAGTCTTTGAAAGCTATGTGGAAAGAAACCTGCACAGCCGTATTAGGAAGGAAGAAGAAAGAAGATGAGGAATGGATCTCAATGGACACATGGAAGCTGATAGAGCAGAGAAAGAAGGGTGGTGAAGCAGAAGATAAACCAGTGCAAGGATGCTCAACGACAAGAGGAACTGAGCACAATGTACAAAACACTACACTGGACAAAGAAGTGAAGAAGAGTGCACGGAAAGACAAAAGACACTTCTACGACACATTGGCAAGTGAAGCAGAACAGACTGCTGCAGGTAGGAGAAACCTGACAACATTGTATCAAATAACCAGGTTGATATCTGGGAGGAGATCAACGCAGACGAAACCGATAAAAGATGATGATGGAAACTTAATTACGAAAGAAGAGAAACAAAGGAAACAATGGGCTGACCACTTCAAGAAGCTCTTGAATCGACCACCACCACCACCTACATTTCGTCCAGAAATACCACCTACAACCCAGCCGCTGAACTACAAGTGAACATAAATCCTCCAACAAAAATGGAAGTCCTGAACGCCATAAGGCTACTGAAATGCGGGAAAGCAGCAGGACCAGACGGGATACCGCCAGATGCACTGAGAACAGACGCAGAGACAACAGCGGACATGCTCACACCACTATTGCAGAAGGTGTGGAAGGAAGAGAAGGTACCTGGCCATTGATTGGAAAAAGGGTTACCTTGTCAAACTCCCGAAGAAGGGAGACCTCAGTGTTTGCAAGAACTGGCACGGAATCACTCTCCTGTCCACTCAGAGCAAGTAGAATATTAAGCAGCATCATCCTGGAGAGGCTAAAGGATGCGCTGGATTCAAAACTACGACCTGAACAGGCTGGCTGGGTGGATTCAGGAAGTACAAATCATGTGCAGACCAAATTGCAACGCCACACCACGCATCATCATAGAACAGAGTATAGAATGGCAGTCAACTCTCTACCTCAACTCTATCGACTTTGGGAAGGCCTTTGACAGCGTCGACCGACAAGTAATTTGGAAACTGCTTCAATACAATGAAATACCGCAAACCTTAATCAATCTCATTCAACAACTATATGAAGACGCCACATGCCAAGTAATTCACAATGGGAAGCTCAGTGATGCTTTTGAAGTGAAAACAGGAGTGAAACAAGGTTGCCTACTATCCCCCATGATATTCCTGATTGTGGTCGACTGGACTCGATCATGCAGCAAACAGTGGGGAGCGAGAAGAGGGAGATACGCTGGACCGGCGAAAAGATCCTAGAAGATTTGGATTTCGCCAATGATGACTTGTGCCTGATGTCACACAAACTTGAAGATCTACAAGCGGAAATTAACAAGTTGACAGAAGAGGCAGGGCAGGGAAGACGGGACTTCAGGTGAATGTAGAGAAGACAGAAGTGATGAAGATACCCAACCAACAACTCCAACGACAACAACAACAACAAACTCCAATCACCATCAACGGGAGAAACTTAAAGAAAGTAGCCTCCTTCACCTATCTAGGCAGCACTGTCTCAACTACAGGCAGCGGCACAGACGAGGATTTCAAAGCCAACCAGGATCGGAAAAGCAAGACGGGCGTTCGTTAACCTGAAACCAGTGTGGAGATCTTCTGCAATCCGCTCAACATGTGGAACAAGATCCGGATTTTCAGCACCGTTGTCAGTCAAGTGAGTGCTTCTGTACGGTTGAGAGACTTGGCGGGTTACGAAAGGGATTTCCAATAAACTACAGACATTCATCAACAACTGCCTACCCTGGCTCGCTACTGAAGATCAGATGGATTGCCAGAAAGAATAAGCAACAAGGAGCTCTGGGGACGAACCAACCAAGAACCTATCACACAACAAATATGCAGAAGGAAGTGGAGATGGATTGGGCATACACTTAGAAGACCGATTGGGGACATCATGCGTCAGGCCCTCGAGTGGACCCCCATTGGGGGCGACGAGTTGGACGTCCTAGCTGACGGTGACATGGAGGAAATCGTGCGAGGAAGAAATGAGAGCTTCTGGGCTGTCGTGGAGCCAGGTTCAAAAGATTTCAGAGAACAGAGTTCACTGGAGACGTGCTACTGAAGCCCCATGTTCCATTAGGAACTCAAGGGACTAATAATAATAATAAATAATAAAATTAACGATAACTTGACTTACCAACATAACCTGGTGTACCACAGGCTGTAGCCATATTGGATTGTTCATTTTCAATTTTGGATAAGCCAAAATCGCTAACCATTATCTTACTATCATCAGCGGGGCTAAAGTAGAGTAGATTTTCGGGCTAATTATGAAATGCATAAAACAAGAAAATGAAAGGGTAATAAATCTGGTGAAAAAAATATGTAAGGAAAGAAATTGGTAAATATACAATTTCATACTTGTTTGGTTGGTTATTTACAAAAAAAGCAAACACAAGATTTTCAGGAAAAAATAAATGTATTCCATTTTATCGCTTTAACACTGTGTTATACAGCTTTAAATATGTGTGGAATTATTATGTTTCAGTTGAACAAGTATATAGAATGACATAAGTAAAACTTGAACGATGACTGTGAGTATTACAAATGATCGCTATCTTATGTGTTTACTGTAGGTTATTTGGAAGAATGATTTCAGAGTTTTAGCAGTAAGTATTAGATAAAAAAATATATTGAAAACATTTATTTCCCGATACAACTTTAAAACAAGCAACGAATGTGAAAAAGAAGGATTTCATAAATTCATGAATTTCAGTAGAACTCGTCAGCCAGATACTCTATATACTTCATCGCATATACCGTTCAACAGAGCCAGGAAAATTTGTCCCCACAGCACTTTGAAAAACGTGCTAGTGAAGGATGCGTACCCAGAAGGCTTCATCAGCAACCATGCTAAGTGGGTGGGAAGCAGAACTACGTCCCCAACAGTACAGAAGAAACCAGTCTATATAACCTTGTCATTCAAAGTTGGTGAAGCGCTAGAAGTAGTTAGACGAAGACTGGCAAAGTCTATCAGAAGGACTTATTTGTTGCTAAACTCATCCACCTCAGTACCACCAAAAGGGTACTGCGAAAGTCGGAGAAAGACAGGGCTTCGATCCTCGATACATCTACATGAACATATCAGTTCGAATGTACCGATGGAAGCAAATACAATGGTCGTACGGAGAGGTGTCTGTCGCCCGAATGGCTGAGCAACTACCCAAATGGCTGGAGATGCCAAGAAGAAAACTCTAAGAACCTCGATGACGAGGATTATTGGCATAATATTGATACCTGTAAGTCCTTTACGGTAGACAGCAAAATAAAAAAGTGCTCCCAATTGCGAAGCCTGGGTGATTAGAGTTGTTCAACCAAACCTTTACATTCAGAAGGAAATATTAGTCAGCTTGAATCTGCCATTTTTAGGAGTTACAGTGACATCTAATCACATTCAATTTTTCTTACTTGCACTTCGATCTTAATTATCACCCATCTCATATTTTTGTTTTCCTTCCATGATTTGTTTCGCCTAATTAACCTCATTCCTATTACCATTGTTATCATTACTAATCATCTCCAAACACACCTAGTTTTCTTATTATGTCTGCATAAGTACTATTAACTGCCTTGTTTTGAATGACGTCATTTCAAGTTGTTATTCATCGTAGACTGACATCAGTTGGAGGAACAAAGGAAACCTGGGAGCACTGGACAGCTGTTTCTACGCGTTTATGGTTAACTGGGTATCGAGTTCTGAAAAGCTGTGACCCATGACGTCAACTGTTTTGGATGTGAGAACAACTAATCGCTGATTACTTTGAAAAAAGTAGGTAAATATGGACCAATAAATCTCAACTAAGTGGATTAACGGCAATGTACTCACCATGAGATCTTACAGTTCTGGGTTCAATCACTCATGAAATTATGGGTAAACACTGTTCACCAGCCTCATTCTAGGACTAAATATCTGTCTAGTACTTTGAATTCTTCAACAGTTTTCACCTTGATATCAGTTCGTGGTGAGATCTACCTTGAAATCAATCAACTTATACAAACTACCAAGTGAACATTTTTTTGAAGTTAAACTTACCTTGGAAGCTAAAACCATGGATAAGTAAAAAAGAGTTCCAAATCGAAAGTATATCATGTTCTTACTCAGCAATACATTGCAAAACTCATGTCTTTTTTAGTTGGAAGAAACGTAGCAGGAATAAAAAAGATATTTCAAATACTTTTTGGAGAAACCAAACATTGTTTAGGAAGAGATAGGCATACAAATGATAACTGAATCCTTTATCATTAAACATAAGTCCTATGTGTCCTCACTAGCAAAAGCCTAAATGTTAATTTCTTGAATGTGGTTAATGGTAATAGTTTTATCAATGAAGAAGCAATGCCTAAAATTGCGTCTCATTTCATCAATGTACCTAAAATCACAGAATAAATTTCAAGTTAACGGTTTTTATTACTGTGTGAATACATGGTTAGTGAGGCTACAAAATGATAATTACTGAGTGCTTAACAATTCACAATTTGCCTTCAACACGTAACCTCAAGTTAAATTTCCAAATATCAAGGGCGATTCTAATAACAATCCAGGTCCAGCCTAATAACAAATGGAAACAACATATTCAGGGCTGATTTAAGCATCTTGACGTCAATCGAAATCACATCAATTTTCAAGTTAACATCTCTCACAAACTGAAACCAGTTGAAGAATCTCTGAAAACATAGAAGCTCTAGATAGCTGTTTCGTCCTAGTATGAGACTCCTAAGCAGTGTGTACCCATCGCCACACCCAGCCACGGATCGAACCCAGGACCTTCACCTTCCGCAACCAGCATGTTATCACCTGATCACAGGGTCGGAATCCAATGGTTCATATTTCCTAATTCTGTCAGTTTACAATATAGTGTGACCTTCATTCAATCCCATCGTTGAGCACCTGTCCTCAAGTCCTATTTGTTATGCCTCACCGGCTACGATCTCTCATTCGAACCCCGGAAAACCTAATCTCGAAGCATGTGACTAATGAGCACCAGATAGCAGTTTCAGTTTCGAAGGTCTGTAGGAATTTTATTGATTTCAGGTTGCTACGAGAACTGAAGGTCTTGATTTTGATCCCTGGCGGAGTCATGATTGAGCGCCTCTGTAGTACCGTACTAGGACGAAACATATGCTCAGTGCTGTCAACTTTTCAGTAGTTCTGCAAATGATGGCAGTTCATGATGAATACCAACCTGAAATCAATAAAATCCCCATAAAACTTCAGACTGAAATAAGACTAATTTTAACTAAGAGTAGTTGCATGACTTAGAATAAAAACAGTGTATTATTATAATAGTATATGCGAGCTGTAATAAACATACGATATTCGAATTAAACATATTTAAACATAACACAATTTCGTAAATGATAGTCGCATGACGTTTCAAGTTATTGTTTTTTCGCTTTAAAGTGATACAGCACTTAGGCCTTTAAAATTTACGTGAACAGTAACTGTGCAGGGGTTTTTCGCAAAGTACCTGTGATAAAATTTTTACTGTCTGAATAAAGACCAAACGAATTGGCACAGATTTGATGCTCAGAGGTGAGGTAAATCAGATTATTATCAGTGAACCAGTATGACAAACAGCCAGTGATCAACAGCTCTTCTCATCATTCAACCTGTTAGTAATTACCTGTATAAACGCTCATAAAGAATTTCAAATTTCTTTTACAAGTACACTGAAGACGAAGGCACATGAGATATAATTTTATGTACCTGAAGAGTTGATCTCAGGTAGTAACAAATAAATCAGAACATTAACAGACTGGACTTTACACATAAAAACTACAAACCATATGATTAAGGTACAAACCACAGCAGATTGCTTTGGAGGCCATTTTCACTAGCTACGTATGTTCTTGAACAAACTATAGATGACCAAAATTCAGTGTATAGTGATTTCTCCTCACCTCATTACTCCTGAAATTAGCTGTTCGCAACAACTTAATCACCTCTGAACCTTGATACTTCGTCACAGAAGATAAAAACTTCTGAATCAACTAACTAGTAATATCTTTCAGTTTTGTATGCATTTATCCTGAAATTGTTAGTGAAACCCCAAGAATCCACCTTTCCACTGTTAGTGATATGAGTAACACTTATTTAACATAAAAATAGTGTGCAGTAAGAAGAGAACGGCATACATACAATGTGGTTGTCATGGTCTGGATTTATACTTAAGATATATGATACACGAGAGGAAATCAGCAAATGTAAGAAGTTCTGATTGTTTCAGATCCCTATCATTTTTCATCAAATAAAAGTTTTGGTAAGAACTAACCCTACAGGACAGATAAGCGTCTAACGTTGCAGTTTTATGCATAATCCATGAATAGGGACTTTCATTGTTTCCAGGCATACTTAGCAAGTTTTTCTGATCAACACGTTAGTTCAGTTATCCCTATTTGTTGATATGTTTGTAGTTCTTTGTTGTTTTATTAAAACGAACTGTTCAACCTCGCTTAGCAAATGGGCCCTCGTGTAGATGCTTCGATATCGCCTGAATATTTATTATAATAATTTACTTGGTTGTGACTAGGAGAGGAATCCAGGATGCGCATTTCGTCCACTTTTGGACTCATCAACTGGATTTACCTGCACCCCAGTGAATGTTGTTCTCACTGAAACTCGAACCCCATACTCATCGCTCCAAACACCAAGGCGTTATTCACTAGGCCAGTGAACAATTCGATCCAGTAAAACAACGGAGAACTACAAGTATATCAACTAGTAATAATAACTAACACCCGTCACACAAGAAGTGGCTACCGTGCCTCCGTGACATAGTGGATAACGCCTTGATGTTTGAAGCAATGAACACGAGGTTCGAATCTCGGTTGGAACAACATCCTCACTGGGATGCAGGTACATCCAGTTAGCGGGTTCCAAACACGAGGAAACACGCGTCTTGGATTTCTCTTCTAGTCACAACCAAGTATATTATATTAGTTCAGTGCCAAAAATTCACTTGTATCTTCTGAGTTTCACTCGACCCGCTAACTGTTTTGAATTGCTGGCTGCCTGTTTAAGCTTTGGGCTACCAAAAACATACATCGAATATATTTCGTCAAACTGCTTTTTTTTAATTATTTTAACCATTCAAACATAGTCTTGTGCACCCTCAAATATCTTCAACCTATTGTTGAACGGGTTAACAACGAGACTATAAGAAAATATTACAGTAGATGTCAGTTGGCCTCTCAGTGCACAGCAATGCATCATATATCTATCAAACGAACATGTAGCTGGAACATCAAGTCATCATACTACATG